CAAAGTGGGGGAGAACAAGGGGTCACAAGACCAGTCAAGCAAAGCAAAGCAAAGCAAGCTCAGGGTGGATCACAAAGTCACCACACAGTCCGAGCACAAGAGCAGGGCCAGAGGCCAGTTCACATGCAGGAGTACAGACATATACATAACACTAGACAAGCAGGAGCAGGTATATATATGTCACAGTACAAGTAAAGTCAAGAAGAGAGCAAGTGAGGCAAGACAGGCACAAGACCCAGCTGGGTGCAGAAGCGCTGATGGTCACAAGGCGCGAGTGCCTTGGTGAACACATCAGCAGTGTTGGCCTCAGAGGCCACGTACGCAAGTCGCAACTGACCACGCTGCTGCAGCTCACGAGCAAGGAAGTAACGGAGAGCAATGTGCTTTGTTCTGTGCTCCAAGCGCTGCTCTCGACACAAGGCCAGCATGGCCTTGTTGTCTACGTACAGCACTGGAGGAGAACGAGGCGGCTCTCCAAGGTCAGTCAGCAGGTAGGTGAGCCAGCGAAGCTCCTGTGCAGCCATGGCCCCGGCGTAGATCTCAGCCTCACAACTGGAGCTGAGAACCGAAGACGAACGAGTAGACCGCCAAGAGACAGAGCCGGAACCAAGACTGAAGGTGTAACCCTGTGACGACCGCTGCGTAGCCTGGTCGTCAGCCCAAGAAGCGTCCGCGTGGCCTGTAAGGACCACTGGACTCCGCCCTCCAAGCACTAGCCCCATGCCCGACGTACTGCACAGGTAGCGCAATACCCTCTTCGCTGCAGCCATGTGCTCTGGTCGGTGTCTCCCAGGAGCAACATAGTGTGCAAGAATGCTCAGAGGGTATGCAAGGTCAGGTCGAGTGCAGGTCATCAGGTACATGAGGCAGCCAACAAGCTCTGGGTACGGGCCACTCGACTCTACGGACTCATCCGAAGGCAGAGCTGAGAGTGAGTGGCGAGTAGACAGAGGAGTGGCCTGAGGCGAGGAGTACGTGAAGCCGAAGCGCTGAAGGACCTGCTGCACCATGTGTGACTGAGTCAAGGTGATGGTGCGGCGTGCTCTGTCCCGAGTGATCTGCAAGCCAAGGTAGCTGCGCAGTTCACCCAGGTCTGTGCACGTGTGTCTCTTCAGTAGCTCGGACTTCACGTAGGCGAGTCCAGCAGTGTCCGCTGTGGCAAAGACCAAGTCGTCGACGTACACGAGGATGTAGAACGGCGGCAGTGAAGTGTCGGTGCGCAGAAACAGCGACGGGTCAGCAGTAGACAGAGCAAACCCAAGAGCCGCAAGCGTAGTCCTCAGTGTGTCGTGCCACTCACGCGGTGCCTGGCGGAGACCGTAGACTGGCCGTCGGAGGCTCCACTGGGTGCTAGGAGGGAAAGTCCCAGTGAAGCCAGGTGGACGGCGCAGCCAGATCTCCTCGTGCAGGCTACCCTGTAGGAACGCAGTGCTGAAGTCGAGAGAGTGAAGCTCGTAGTCGCGCTGAGCGGCTATGTGCAGCAGCACCCGAAGAGTGGTCATCTTCGAGGTGGGAGAGAAGGTCTGAAAGTAGTCAACTCCCTGCCGCTGACTGAAGCCACGAGCAACGTACCGCGCCTTGAAGACAGGTGGAGAGCCCGGCGGCCGCTTCACCCGGAAGATCCACATGCCACTGACGATGTTCGCCCCAGGATGGGGAACTGCGTCAACGTAGGTGCCTGTGGACTTCCATGAAGCCATCTCTGCATCCATAGCTGCCTGCCACTGAGACGAGTAGGGACCCTCTACGGCCTCCGCGTAAGAGCGCGGAGTCGGGATGTCTAGTGCATCCGGGTCTCCCTCAAGAGCTAGCAGTACAGACGCGAGATGAGGTGAAGCAGCAGCCAGACACTGTAACTCCTCCTGCCTGTCCTCTAGGACGTCCGTGCCAAGAGCACACTCACCCCCGACGGACGGAGGACAGACAGACGCAGACTCAGCAACAAGACTAGCAGCGTAGTCTAGACGACAACGAGCAGCAAAGTCGACGAGCTCAGTGACAAGAGCAGACGCAGCAGTGGACTCAAACGAGGGGTCAGTGACGACAGTAGCAAGCATACGCGTGACAGTAGGACTGGCAGCACGAAGAGAGTCCGACTCAGGGTCGGCAAGCGCAGGAAGAGAGGACTCAGGAGGAGAAGGCAAAGGGGCACGCAGAGGAGCAGTGGACGGACGCAGAGACATCCGGTGCGTGCCAGGGACAGGAGGAGGACGCTGACGCGAACCGCGACCACTAGCGCGAGTAGCACAAACAGGCGACGCGGGACGAGACGCAGGCTCACGACGCTCAGTAAGACCTCCAGTAGGACCAGTGTAAGGAGAGGGAGCAGGCAGAGGAGAGGAAGGCTCCAACAGTGACTGCGACTGGACAGGCTGCGGACACTCTACCGGAGGAGAAAGACCAAGAACCTGCTGCAGGAGCGGAACGAAGTACGGCCGAGGCCGCGCGGCAGCTCCAGACTCAGCAGGGACAGCACCAGCACCCTCAGCGACAGTACCAGCGCCACCAACACCTCCAGCGGCAGGACCTCCAGCAGTACCAGCAGCAGAACCACCGCGAGGACAGACAGCAGTGGTCTCAGCACCAACCCCCTCAGCAGCTCCAGCTCCAGGAGGACCCGCAGGCCCAGCAGCTCCGGGACCGGCAGCACCAGCACCCTCGACTGTCGAAGAAGCTCCAGCTCCAGCAGCACGCCTCCAGCGGCGAGCAAACCACTCGCGCAGCTCCTGTGGAGAGAGGGGCTCCCGTCGAGACGCAGCAGCAGGAGAAACCCCAGGCTCAGCACCCCCAGGCTCAGCAGCTCCCAACTAAGCACCCCCAGGCTCAGCAGCTCCAGGCACAGCACCCCCCGGCTCAGCACCCTCCGCAGTAGTACCCCCAGGCTCAGCACCCCCAGGCTCAGCAGCTCCCAACTCAGCACCCCCAGGCTCAGCAGCTCCAGGCATAGCACCCCCCGGCTCAGCACCCTCCGCAGTAGTACCCCCAGGCCCAGCACCCCCAGGCTCAGCACCCCCAGAGTCAGCACCCCCAGGTTCAGCACCCGCAGCAGCACCAGAGTCACCAGTAACCTCGACCGGGTCAACTGCGTCTACCTGGGACACACCTGAGGGGGCAGGAACATGAGGGGGGAGGGGGTCTACCGGGGGGGGAACCGGCACAAGGAAGTCCGGCGAAGGGGGGAGGGAAGGAGTGCGGTAGGGGAAGAGGCGGTAGAAGGGGACTGACTTGTCGAACGTGACGTCCTGGGAGGACAGAACACGGCGAGAGGTGGGGTGGTAGAACTGCCACCCTGGTGCGTCAGGGGGGAAACCCAGGAAGACGCAGGGAGCAGCACGAGGGGACAGCTTGTCCGCAGACAGGTCGCGGACAAACGCCCGAGATCCCCAGACACGGAACGCAGACGCATCGCCAACCTTCCCCGTCCACAGCAAAGCTGGGGAGGTCTCCGGCATGGAGACCCTGGGGTGAAGGTTGATCAGATGCGCCGCGTATCGGACCGCAAACGACCACAGAAAATGGGGGGCAGCCGCATGCATCATGGACGTACGGGCGACGTCCATGACCATGCCAATGCGGCGCTCAGCAATCCCATTTTGCTGTGGAGAGTCCGGAAGCGTGAAGGTCTGGCGGATGCCTCGTGCACGACAGTAGGCTCGCAGAAGGCCAGAGGAGAACTCTCCGCCTCTGTCCGAGTGCAGACGCAGAACAGGAAAGTCCGAGCCGAAGCTCTTCCTGAGCTGGAGACGAGCCTCGCGGATCCAGTCGATAAGCACCTCAGCGACAGCACCCTTGCTGAGCAAGGGGAGGACCGTGGTGTAACGCGAGTAGTCGTCAACCACCAACAGAAAGTAGCGCTCGTGACCCTGCCCACGGACGGGGGCTGGGCCCCACACGTCCATGTGAAGCGTCTGCAGAGGAGCCTCTGTCGGGGGGAACTGGGAGGAGTGAGGAGCAGCCCGGAGGCGACCCTCGACACAGGGGACACAGGAAGGTCCTGGCCCGGAGGGAAGGGGAGGGAGAGACTGGGGAAGACCAGAGACAAGGACACGGGAAGCCATGCTCCGAAGACGGGGCAAGGAGGGGTGACCAAGACGGTGGTGCCAAAGGAGAGTCTCGTGAGACAGGAGGCGACAAGAACAGGGGGCAGACTCAGGACCTGACCGGGACGCAGCAGCAAGCACCTGACCTGACGCAGCCACCTGACCAGACGCAGGGACCGGAGGAGACTCAACGGTCAGGGTGTAGAGACTCGACCCCGGCCGACGCGAGAACGTGGCCAGGTGTCGGCCTGTGCGTGCCTCCGTGCAGTGGGTCACCCGCTGACTCGCAGGAGTGAACTGGTGAACCCCCACATCCTGCAGGTCCGCGCCACTCACCAAGTTCGTAGAGAACGAGGGAAGGTACAGACCAGACAGGGTGCCCGAAGGGGCAGCCGGACACGGGAGGACAGTGGAGAAGTGAGAGAGGACAGGACCCCCAGAGGGGTCAGCCAGGGAGACGGCAACCGGCCGGCCAAGCGGCGTAAGGGTGGTGCGGTCTCGAAAGAAGGAGCGAGAAGCCCCAGAGTCAAGTGTGAAAGTAAGGGAGGACGAGGGCGACGCAGTACCTGAGAGCGCAGTCTCACCAGTACCTGAGAGCGCAGACGCACTGGCACCTAGAGCAGCAGCCTCACAAGCACCTAGCGCAGCAGTACCAATGCCCGGGTCGGGCTGGAAACACCGGTAACGCTCAGTCTCCTCACTAATAGTCACAGCATACATAGCAGCAAGGATAGCATCAAAATCAAGATCAAAGATCGCTACACCAGCCCTAAGAAGCTCATCCCAGCGAGGGATCTCACTAGCCCCGTGGAACTGCTGACGCCAAGCGTCCGTCAGGCGGCCAAAACAGCGCTGAGTGGGGTGGGCACCCCCACACTGCTCACCCGCGCGGTCGCCGGAACGAAGGACGTAGGTGCAAGGACCAGTACCCCCACCCCTCTGACGCTGAGTGTACCACTCATGAAGCTGCTGAGGCGGAGGGATGTCCCGCGAACGCTGCTGCTGCTGCTGCTGCGAGCGCTGGGCACCACCACCGCCGCTCCGCTGCTGGGTACCACCCCGACCAGCTCCACCCACTCCACCACCACCGCCTCCTCCGTTGCCTCCTCCGCCGCCTCCACCTCCGCCGCTGCCACCACCACCACCGCTGCCACCACCACCGCCGCCTCCGCAGCTGCTGCCACCACCACCACCACCCCCGCCACCACTCCCGCCGCCACCCCCACTCCCTCCGCCGCCTCCGCCGCCACCGCCACCGCCCCCTCCAGCTCCACCCGCACCCTTGCCCCCCTTGCCCTTGCCAGAGCGGCGTCTCCCACTAGGGGCAGACGCCGCGCCGACCGACTCAAGACCAAGCAGGTCGGCAGCAGCAGCAGCAGAGGCAACAGAGGGCAGCAAGGGGGAAGGAGAGCACCCCTCAAAGATGGGGGTGCGAGGGTCTCCACGAGAAGCTCCTACAGCGACTATGCTCTTCTCCGCTGCTAGGAGGGCCTTCTCGAGGACGTCGACGGTGAGGGTGGTGGGACAGACTGCGAGAAAGTGGTCCCTGACTACGCGAAGGGAGTCAGGGAGGCGTGCGACTACGTAGTAGAGAGTGATGTACATGGGGGGGGGGTTCTTGGCGCAGAACTCAGCAGGAAGGGCGGCGCGGTAGCGAGTGTCACTAGTGCGGAGGTGCGTAATGAGGTCAGCGACAGTGGGAAAGGCAGAGAGGTCAGGAAAGAGGTAGGGAAGCATGAGACGGCTCAGTGCAGCAGTGGCAGGGGAGGAGTAGCGCGCAACTACAGCGTCGTACAAGGTCTGAGCACTCTTGTACTGACTAAAGTGCGCGCGCTCAGAGGTAGGGAGGTGGCGACGCACAGCAAGACGTGCAGCAGCATCGCGGGTGGCCCACTGAGAGCGCACAGTGGGATCAGCATCAGCAGCTGGAGCAGGAGAGGCGCCAGAGGTAAGGTCAAAGGGAGAGAGGCCGTCTGCCCTATCGCACTGTAAAAACAACTGCAGGTCGTCTACCCAGACCTCAAAGTCAATGGCGCGACCCTCAACGTCAAAAGCTAGGACACTAGGGGTAGCCATGACGACGACAGCGAAGCAGTGCAAGCAGTAGGGGAAGAGCACGCAGTGACAGTGGGACTGTGCTCACCAGGCAGGGCAGGCCGGACAACTCTGCAGAAGGGCAGCTCGGCGACTCAGCGACTCGGCTGCTGGGCGGCTCAGCTCCCGGGCGGCTCGGCGACAGGGCGGCTCTGGTTCAGGGCAGCTCGGCTCCCGGGCGGCTCGGCGGCAGGGCGGCTCGGGTGTAGGGCGGCTCGGCTCCCGGGCGGCTCGGCGGCCGGGCGGCTCGGGTGCGGGGCGGCTCGGCTGCACTGCTGCTCGGCTGCTGCAGGTGGGCGGCTCGGCTGCTGCAGGTAGGGTGGCGGGGCCGCGAGATCAGGGGCAGCGGGGCCGAAGTAGCAGGGCCGGCAGGTGCAGCGGCGGGGACGGCGGGGCCGCGGCTGGTGGAGCGGCGGAGCCGGCAGAGAGGGCGGCGGAGCCGCGGCTGAGCAGGCGGCGGGGCCGGCAGCGTAGTCGGCGGCTGGGCCGCGTCGTAGTGGGCGGCGGGGCCGCGTCAGAGCAGGCGGCGGGGCCGCGTCAGAGGCGGCGGCGGGGCCGCGTCAGATCAGGCGGCGGGGCCGCGTCAGATCAGGCGGCAGGGCCGCGTCAGAGGTGGCGGCGGGGCCGCGTAAGAGGTGGCGGCGGGGCCGCGTCAGAGCAGGCGGCGGGGCCGCGTCGTAGCGGGCGGCGGGGCCGCGATCGGGCGGCGGGGCCGCGACGTGGCGGCGGGGCCGGGATCGGGTGGCGGGGCCGCGATCAGAAGGGGTGGCGGGGCCGCGTCTGAGGGACGGCGGGGCCACGAGGGAAAGGGCGACTCGAGGGGCGCGCTTCGGTGCGCGCTTCGGGGCGCGCTTCGGTGGGCCCTAGGCAACGTTCCCACAGGGAACTCGCTCTATACCATGTGAGAATAAATGATCAGAATGGAAATGACTAAGCTAGTGTTGGGTACAAATACAACCCTAGAAAGCTGTACCCCATATGTGCTACCCCACTATAGCCTACAAACATGTATCAGCTATAATAATCTGACAGAGATCACCTAACAACGTACACACGGAGGCCTGGGTCTGGATTGTTCACACTCCACACTAAGTCCCCCCAGGTGTGTGCGTCAAGTCAGGTAGCTGTGTCTTGTTCGTGTCACCACCGCCACCAGTCCCTCAACTTGCACCACCGCCTTGGTCACCCTTCCCTTTAGCGTCTCCATCGTATGCACTCACCTCGCCTTGTCTCTGGGCTCCCGCTGTCCCTACCCCCGCTCCCGCCGTCGCTTGCATCGACGTAGACTCTCTGCATCGAGGGGCGGTAGCACGTCGATCCTCATTCCTCCTCGTTTCCTCCAACCACTGCTCCTCTGTAGACGCTGCACATGGACGTGTGGGGGTGCCCTCGTCAATCGGCCACGCCGGGAGCGCTACTTTTTGCTTGTCGTCAATGTCTGTCAACAGGAATAGAGTGTTTGCCTCACCCTCGCTTGGGCGACGCCGACGTCCTGGTCGGATGTACGGGAACAACAGCCGACCGTACGTAGTGAAGGAGCTACTCGATGGGCCTCGTGGAGCTGCAGAGGATCGCTACGGTGTTGCTGTCAACCAGGGGGGGCTCGACGGCCTTCTTCTGCGGGGCAAGTCGACGAGGTGGTCGTCGACATGCACAGGATTCTCGCAGGGTTGGAGCCGTGGACCAAGGGTGCTCAACGTGTGCAGCTGATCGAGCTAGACGACGGACGGGCCGTTGACTAGGCGGAGCAGCTGAGCGTGCTGGTCGACAAATGGGTCCGTCGACTAGGGTGTTCCTCGACGGGAGCTGTGGTCGACAAGGGAGGCGTCGACCAGAGCACTGGGTGGTCGACCAGGTAACCTACTCGGCGAGTTCTACGGAGGCATGCGAACGTCGTCGAGGCTGCGATGGCGAAGATGACTTCGGGCTGGTATCCGAAAGTGATGTGGCTCGTCAGGCGTAGACCAGGGCCGGCGGATGCACAACGGAGCTCGTCGAGCGAATCGTCTGCGCGCACCTGCAGACGTGCACAATGCTGTCTTTTATGGGTGCAGCGCTGGACAGCCGCTCTACTGCAGTGTTGGCACGGCATCGACTTGCTATGTTGGCAGGTCATGTTTTTGCAGTGCTGGTGCGGCTCCTCTACGCGACGCTGGTAGGCGGTCGACCATGCTGTGCTGGCGGTCGACCAGGCTAGTTGCAGAGTTGGTAGGTGCCTGATGTAGTCATTCTTGTCATTGTCATTGCTATCATTATGTAATTCCAACTTGCCGATTTCTCCCGTGAATGTGCAAGTGCTAAGGAACTAAGCGGAGCTACGATCGCTTTTAGAGTTCATGCCAACACCCCGTAGTCTAGCTCACGACTATTGTAGAGTGACTCTCCGCATTGTAGAGCGTGGACGGCCCCGCAGATTACATTCAGATAGGAGCCGAATTTTGCACCTACTAAGTCGTTCGTAGGCCGGCAGCAAGTGCAACCATGACGCCTACCCTGCCAACGGCCGGCGCGGTAGAGGACACCTTGGAGGCACGTTTGGCTGATGCGAGGAAACGTCACGAGGATGGTGAGTACGGGACGATCCCCTTGGTGATCGCGGAGTTGGGCATCCGGACGCAGTGGGCGACGAAGCACCATTTCCGTCCGCATCTCCTCGTCTGGTGCGAAACGATGGTGGCATCGATGAAGAGGTCGACGGCGGTGCATGAGTTAGCGGCAGCGAGGGCACGAAAATGAGAGTGGTGATCAAGGTCGATGGTGGCGTCGATGGGAGTTAGGCGCTAATGCAGCTGTCGATGACGGCTGCAGGCAGCTCACGTGTCGACGTCTATGCTTGACGTTGCTCACCTCAATGAAGCAATGAGAGGCCTATGTTGACGGCGCATGTGATGGCGGGCGGAAACACGCTGGCTTATGGTCACTTCAAGTTCACGCTGGACAAAATCACCGCCACGTCACTTCAAGGGGGATGGGACCTCATCACCTGGAGGGAGGCGACGGAACCTCAACTAGAGGTTGCTAGGCTGGAGGGCTTTGCCGACGGCACCGTGCCGATTCCGTTCGAGGTCGAGGTTGAGTTTCGTGGCGCTCACCGGCTCACCTTCATGGTCATCTCGAGGTGCTGCTCGCTGGTGGTGCAGATAGCGGTCAAGTCGTGTCGAGAGCGACTGGATGACGGTCATCAAGCGTAACACTTCATCCTGTCGATGTACCAGGCGACTGATGATCTGTACATTGGACAACTGGAGGAGCAGATGACACACCTTTGGATGGGTGAGCAGAAGTCGGCGACGGACTACTGCAACCATGCTCGACAAATCGTGGCTGAGATGCGGATGGCGGACGTCGAATACTCGATAGCGTCCTACATCACCCACGCCGTCAAGGACGTGCCGCGTAGCTACAACCTCATGAAGAGCATGATGATGGTGCCCGGCATGCGTGAGTTCCTCAATGAGGACCCTCACCACCTACGTCATCAAGGACGAGGCTCTGCAGAAGGCAGAGTAGCCCAGAGAGCTCCTTCAGCAAGCGAACTATGCTGCCCCGGCGAAGCCGAATCGACAGCAGGGACAGCGTGGGAAGCCGGGCGGAGGTGGTAGTGGAGGTGGGCGGTCAACGAAGGACATTGACGAGAAGAGGTTGACGCAGGATAAGGGCCATGGAGGTGCTGGTCGACGGCGGGAGTGTTGGATCTGCCACGACTCCGACCATCTATCCTACGAGTGCCTCGACCGCGACGACAGCGACGAGGACGACAAGAAGGGAGGCCGTGGTAGATCGGCAAGCTGTCACACCCGTCGAGATGAGAAGCCTCGCAAGGAGAAGCGGGTGTCGAAGAATGTCTTCGTCGACATGGTGCTGAGCGACAACGTGAAGCATATGCGTGGCTTCAACGGAGCTCTGCAAGTCGTCGAGAGTCGTGGCACCTTTGCTTTGCAAGGGGAGGCCGGGAAGCGGGTCCTCATCCCTGACGTGCTCGTGAGGCTCGTGCACATCGGCGTCGACACGATCAAGAGCTCGGCGAAGCATGAAGTCACAACTGGCCTCGACATCAAGCTGTCGACCAAAGCGGACCTGCCGTGCGTTTCGTGCCTCGAAGGGAAGCTGGCGCGTCACACCTTCCCCGACAACGGACGTCGAGGAGGCGCTTGCTGTCGTGCACATTGACTTGTGCGGGCCATATCGGGTGGCTGCCAAGAACGGTAGCCTGTACTTCCTACTACTGAAGGATCGCTACATCCGGTTTGTGTGGGTGATGCTAGTCGCTAAGAAGAGCGACGTGCTATGGGAGTTCGGGCAGTGGCTGGTGCTGGTGGAGCAGCAGATGAAGAAGTCGGTACTACGGATGAGCAAGAGGCGAACACGTTCGTGTTCGCGTTTGCCCCTGCACGAACACCGCCGTTCGGCGAACCGGACCCCGTTCGGTTTGCCGAGCACCTTTCCCCAAAAAGGGTGTTCGCCGTTTGCCTGTGCAGGCAAACATCTTGGTTTCGGAGGTGAAGACGAACGTGTTCGTGGCAAACCCGTTCGTACTCGCTTTTGGGCATCCTCTGTTACGCTCGAAATACGCAACGGCATGCAGGGGAATTGCGGGAAACTGGGGGAAAAAACATAGGCTGAATCTGGCTTGTGCTAGTTAGGGATCCATATTTTTGCTTATCCAGCTCGCCACCTGGATTTCCCCCCCCCAGGTAAGGCGAAATGCTCTCCCCCCTCTAGATCTACGAAAGTTGCGATTGCTCGCCACCCCCCCACAATCTCCTAACTTACGAAAAGTGCAAACGCTATTCCTATCTATCCCCAACTTACGCGATTCGCGAATGCTTTCCCCAACCCCATGCAAACAAAATTTGCG